AGATAAGCGCCGATCTGATGGGCCACTTGTTGGAAGAACTGTACTTTTAACTAACTTAACAGGAAACTTACTTAAACAGAACAAGTGGCTCCAACGTGCCATACTTATCACTATCGACCAACAAACTACTTTTGGCTGAAGATGACTTCCGCTCAGGTTGTCGCAACGTCAGTCACCAAAACAACTACTCTAGGACGACCCTCTCCAGGGAAATCACATTATATGAACTATTCATTGGATGGTGCACTTCACTGAGAGTTTTCATTGGCTTTGTCATCATGGTATAGGAGCATTTATACAATGCCCTACAAACATGGAAGGCACACGCCCAATAATTTTAGGCGTTGTCATTTTTGTGTTATTTCAGTTTTCTAAAGTCTGGGCTATTTTTTTTAATAAAACAATTATTCGGAGCGGAGCGTTATTTCTTATTCTAAATGAGTGAGAAAGTTACTTTATCGTGATTGGCTGAGAAAGGGCCAATTTATCGTTAATTTTTAAGGTGGCTGGTAACAGTTTCCAGCACTTTCCAAGACTTAGATTGAAGCTACAATCATTGTATCAAAAACTGCTCAATCACTGCTGAACAAGTTGTTATCATTTTTTTTGCGAGACAATAGGTTACCATTGCAACAGTATAAACTGCTGAAAACTCTTAAATTTAGCTTTTACTGCCGCCAACTCAAAAACGAGCTCGGTGGCCCCCTCATCCATATCTTACTCAAATGTATTTGTTTTTTAACTCGTATGTGCTCGTATATTGTTACTAGTATGTACTCGTATGTTACTTGTATGTATTCGTATGTCACTCGTATGCACATCTATCTTATTAGATATATGATGAACAAAGATATCTCAGCCAATTTGAATCAGAAATGTTTACTTCTTGGCAGTAAGATTCTACTAAGGTGGTCCACAATATGCACTTAACATTTTTCAAATTCTGCCTCAAAATCCGAATTTTGCTTTATAATCACTTTGATTCGGGTTTGAAAACAATCCACCAGGAAAAGGTGTAATAGCGTTGAAGTCCAATGACCTGTGAAAAGGGCATTTCATGCAGTAAGCAAAACAAGGAAAAAAAAAATTTTCCAGTGTTGGAAATTAAATTTAAACAGCAATCGCCGTTGCCTAGGGTGACTCTGAAATAAACTCGCCCGGTGTAATCTTCACCCACCCGGAAAGA